AATTAAAAGCTAATACTATCAAATAGTTATAAAACGTGACAAATTCTTTTTTTTTTTATTTTAATTAAAGGAGATTCAATATTTATACAGAACACGTTACAAGAAATTAAGGTTGCGTTTGGTTGTGTTTTATAATTATGATTTGAGAGTATAAGTTGTATTTTGAGTTTGTGAGGTTTGGAATTATGATTTGAGTGTAGAAAATTTGCTTGGTAAAGAGTTTTGAAAATAGTTTTGAAAAGAGTTTTGATTTGAGTGAGGAATTGTTGATGTGACATATGATATTTAATACAAAAATTTACAACTCATAACTAAACATACAATTCAAAATTATTTTAAAGCACATAAAAATTTTTAAAAATTTCAGAAATTGTTTTTTTCGATTATATAAAAATTAACATATCAATTGCAAAAAAAAAAAAAAAATCAATATTCCAGCCAACCGGCCGGACGACTTGTCAGGAAAAATTTTTTTAAAAAAAAATTATGAAAAGTGCAGCTGAGACAGAGCTCTCTGCAGAGTTTTGCCAAACATCATACTGGAGTGAAGGTGCTGAATCACGTTTGGAGAACACAACCAAACACAGCCTAAGGTTTTAGAGACAAATTTTTAGGGACAAAAATAATTTTTCGGCAAAAATTAATCTTTTAAAGACTGAAGAATTTTTTTTAAAAAAATTATGTATTTAATTATGTTATTACATTTTTTAGACGAGTCTATCTGGTTGCAAAAGGGTTAATGATTTTTTGCAATACAATAAACTCAACTCATACATTATTTTCGTTCTTTGAACTTCAATAGTCGGGATTCATTCCTTGAAGAATGTCTATCTCTCTCTCTCTCTCTCTCTCGAATCCCTAATTTCCTTCTCCTACTACAAGAAATTGCACTTTGGGCGACTAAATTTTTAGTCGCCAAAAGTGTATTTTTAGTCGCCAAAAGATTTTCCCAACAAAATAGTTTGGTCGCCAACTTGGTCGCGAAAAGACAGTCGGCAAAGGTATTGGCGACTGAAAAAATTTTAGTCGCCGAAAGTCCTAAATTGGCAACTAAACAAGTAGTCGCCAAAAATAAAGGCATTGGCGACGAAAAAACTTTAGTCATTGATAGGCTAAATTGGCAATCAATCTTTTAGTTGCTAAAAGCTTTCAAAAAAAATTTATATTGCATTTTCAGTGACTAAAACATTTGGCCTCGTTTAGAAATAAGCTATTTTAGTAGCTTTTTAACTTTTTAACTAAAATATGAGATAAAAAAAACCTAATATATTTGGAGTAACTTTTTGACTTTTTACAAAAAAAGATGTACAAAAAGTAAAAAGAAAATAAAATCTTTGACTTTTTGGTATAAGTTATAAATTTTTTGACTTTTTTAGTAATTTTTTGATTTTTTAGCTAAAATGTTAACTTGCCAAACGCGGTCACCAAAACTAAATTTATTTTCCATGACTAATTTATTTAGTAGCAAAAAAAGATTTTTTTGTTCATCTTATTTTTTTTAGCTACCAAAAGTGTTAGTCGCCTAAAGTGTAATTTTTTTTAACTACTAAAAATTTAGTTGCCTAAAATCTATTTTTTTATTTGGCTACTAAAATTTTAGTCGCCAAAAGTTTTTTATTCATTTTATTTTTTTTAGCTACTAACTATTTAGACACTAAAAATATTTACTGCCTTTTTGGCTACCAATTATTTAGTGGCCAAAAATATGATATTATTTTTTTTTTAATTTGTCCTAACACACTCTACATGATAATACGTGATATTGGATTGTAAACATGCCCCCACATTAATGCTAGAATTTAAAACCAATATTGCACCAATATATTTTGTATAGAATAATGTTATATGTACCAATTAGTGTACCAATTGATGATGTGATATAATTTAAGAGATTTTTAATGTTTGTAATTTATATAATAAGTAAGGTCAATAATAATATCATAATTAGTATTAATACACTAGTTAATACAATAATTAATGCATGTACACCACCGTTTTCTATATCCACATGATCAAATCACCATAACAAGCAATTATGCTCATCTTGACGTAATAAATTCAATATATGTAAATTTAAGTAGCGTGACTAACAATAATGTGGATCAACATGCTAGACATTGTGAAATGTTGAATTAATTATAAGATACAATAGCTTATAATGAGTATGAGTGCTATTTATATTTAACAATTAAGAAAATGCATGTGGATAATTAAAGGATTTGGCTTTTCTCAAGTTGGGGCCTATTTTGCAATTGATTTTGATAATTCGAACCATTTACTTTTTAGATTTCGTTGAGTAGAATATTCTTGTAAAAAATAAGATAATTGGATATCGGTATATTTCGATCAAATTTGTATTATAAAAAATAAATGATTATTTTTGAAATTATATTTAACATTCATTTTTTAAAAACAAATATGATTTAAACATATAGTTACGGATGTCCAATCGTCTTAATTTTTGCATGAATATTCTACTAAATAAGTATTAAAAAGTGAATGTTCAGATCATCGAAATTGGTCACAAAAATAGGCCTACTAAGTTCAGACGCTCTCTTAAGTTGAGATGACAACTTGAGAGAAGCTATACCTGTAATTAAAAGCTAATACTATCAAATAGTTATAAAACGTGACAAATTCTTTTTTTTTTTATTTTAATTAAAGGAGATTCAATATTTATACAGAACACGTTACAAGAAATTAAGGTTGCGTTTGGTTGTGTTTTATAATTATGATTTGAGAGTATAAGTTGTATTTTGAGTTTGTGAGGTTTGGAATTATGATTTGAATGTAGAAAATTTGCTTGATAAAGAGTTTTGAAAATAGTTTTGAAAAGAGTTTTGATTTGAGTGAGGAATTATTGATGTGACATTTGATATTTAATACAAAAATTTACAACTCATAACTAAACATACAATTCAAAATTATTTTAAAGCACATAAAAATTTTTAAAAATTTCAGAAATTGTTTTTTTCGATTATATAAAAATTAACATATCAATTGCAAAAAAAAAAAAAATCAATATTCCAGCCAACCGGCCGGACGACCTGTCAGGTAAAATTTTAAAAAAAAAAAAATCTGAAAAGTGCAGCTGAGACAGAGCTCTCTGCAGAGTTTTGCCAAACATCATACTGGAGTGAAGGTGCTGAATAACGTTTGGAGAACACAACCAAACACAGCCTAAGGTTTTAGAGACAAATTTTTAGGGACAAAAATAATTTTTCGACAAAAATTAATCTTTTAAAGACTGAAGAATTTTTTTTAAAAAAATTATGTATTTAATTATGTTATTACATTTTTTAGACGAGTCTATCTGTGGGCAGGGGTATAGGTTGATGATTGCTGTTTCAAGCTTCTTTCAGCTGCAACAAGCACTGATGCTAATAAAAAATTCCACGATATCAACGATATCGATCTCAAAACCCTCCATTTCACTCCAATTTCCGCCATTCAACTCCAATACCTCAAACCTTTTTCCAACTCAACTCTTCGATTCTCTCTCTCTCTCTCTCTCTCTCTCTCGAATCCCTAATTTCCTTCTCCTACTACAAGAAATTGCACTTTGGGCGACTAAATTTTTAGTCGCCAAAAGTGTATTTTTAGTCGCCAAAAGATTTTCCCAACAAAATAGTTTGGTCGCCAACTTGGTCGCGAAAAGACAGTCGGCAAAGGTATTGGCGACTGAAAAAATTTTAGTCGCCGAAAGTCCTAAATTGGCAACTAAACAAGTAGTCGCCAAAAATAAAGGCATTGGCGACGAAAAAACTTTAGTCATTGATAGGCTAAATTGGCAATCAATCTTTTAGTTGCCAAAAGCTTTCAAAAAAAATTTATATCGCATTTTCAGTGACTAAAACATTTGGCCTCGTTTAGAAATAAGCTATTTTAGTAACTTTTTGACTTTTTAACTAAAATATGAGATAAAAAAACTAATATGTTTAGAGTAACTTTTTGACTTTTTACAAAAAAGATGTGCAAAAAGTAAAAAGAAAATAGAATCTTTGACTTTTTTGTATAAGTTATAAATTTTTTGACTTTTTTAGTAATTTTTTGATTTTTTAGCTAAAATGTTAACTTGCCAAACGCAGTCGCCAAAACTAAATTTATTTTCCATGACTAATTTATTTAGTAGCAAAAAAAGATTTTTTTGTTCATCTTATTTTTTTTAGCTACCAAAAGTTTTAGTCGCCTAAAGTGTAATTTTTTTTAACTACTAAAAATTTAGTTGCCTAAAATCTATTTTTTTATTTGGCTACTAAAATTTTAATCGCCAAAAGTTTTTTTATTCATTTTATTTTTTTTAGCTACTAATTATTTAGACACTAAAAATATTTACTGCCTTTTTGGCTACCAATTATTTAGTGGCCAAAAATATGATATTATTTTTTTTTTAATTTGTCCTTAACCTGTATGTATTCCGTGCAATCTATACTATGTATATAAACAAAACAATACATATATTATCAATCATTTCGCAATTTGCATCCATTTCACTTCCAACCATCCAAAAAGGAATAACTTAATATCAAATTCTATACAAACTAAGTATATTCCAATCTAAAATAATAATTCCATGCAATCATATGAACAATGTATTTGGTTTGAATTTTTTGGATTAAATTTTTTAAAAACTGAGTTTTTTGGTTTTCGTATTTTTTTTTTTGTTTTTAGTGAATATTTTTAAAATTTTAAACATTTTTTTTACTTTTTTCGATGCACCTTACTTAGATGTATCTAAAAAGTAAAAAATTTGTAAAAAAATATTTTAAAAAATTAATAAATACATAAAAATACATAAAAATACAAAATATGTACGAAATTCTCGTATTTTTTTTGTATTTTTGGTATTTAGTGAATTTTTAAAAGGTTTCTTTCACAATTTTTTTACTTTTTAGGTATATTTATATTAGGTACGTCTAAAAAGTAAAAAAAATTGCTTAAAATATTAAAAAAATTCAGTAAAAACAAAAAAACACGAAAAACAAGAAAGTAAAATTTTCTGAAAAGAGTTTTTGGAAAACTCTAACCAAGCATGTATTCATATAGACTCTAGGGATGAAAGTGAACTTTTGAAAAGTCTGTCCAATATTAAACCTCATTTTCTAGAGCTTCAACTATATCCTTATCTTGAATGTCACTATGAAAAGCATGCTTCCCATTGTTGTTACCATTTGTCATATGTGATTTCTCCTGCTCCTCTTTGTATAAACTTTGCAAAAACAAGTTTTTCTTGCGAGGTTCAAATACATGAGTGGAGAGATCAATGGTCCTGCATGTTGGTAAAGTGAATGTTAGGTCCTAGTCATTAAAACTCAACTCTTGCAGATCCAATCTTTACATTCAAATGGACAAAGAGAGACACCTACTATATGCATAATAGATCAACACTACATAAAAGCTCACATTATCCCAAAACAACACAAAACCCCACATAATTTTCCATCACCACCATTCCAAAATGAAAAAATTTCACAAAACCAGTGTCAAATAAATTGTTGCATACTAATACACCCTCAGATAGACAAAATGACAAAACTAATGCAAAAATTATAATATCCAGCAACAAGCATTCAAACCAAAAGCTAAGAGAAAAAAATAGTTTAAATTCCCTAGCACTCCAAGTACATCAATGAGTATAAATGAATATAAGTTTTCATGGAAGTCAGGTAGTATCCCAATTTTTACATCATCTCAAAATTTTAATACAAAGCTTAAAATTCTAAAATTGTATTAGTCTAAATATTTTGAGTCTAAACATTAGCCTAAATTGTATTACATCATCTCAAAATTGTATTAGTCTAAAATTCTAAAATTGTGTTAGTATTCCAATTTTATACCATATCAAGGGTAATGACAAATAACAACAACCAACCAACCATATAAGTACAATGAACACAACATTAGACAACTTTCTACAAGAAATTTTGTTGAAGAGAAAAATACCTGCACAGTTGCTAGGCAGAAGAGTGCAATCCCAATGTTGCGATGATGAGTGTATTGCACCCCCTTTGATTCACTTCCAAGCTTAAGTCCTGTTCCCCATCTAGCAACCCCAATAACATAGGAAGAAAACTGGCAAAGGCTGTGGAGATAAAACCAAGCAGGATCCGCCGACTGGATAGTTCTCAGGTACCTCGCGATGATGGCTCCAACAGGAAACATGATTCCCCAACTCACAACATTCAAAACCCCATGAAGCTGACACAACAATAATCTAATTCAATTACTGAACAATAACTAAAAAAATTATTAACCGTTCCATTCTTTTCTGATTTTCTGATTTTCATTCTCTCTCTCTCTCTCTTTTATTCATTAACCGTTCCATTCTTTTTTGATTTTCAAATTCATTCGCGTTCCTTGCTTGGTTACCAAGAAAATAGTGAATGTCGTAGAAAATTTTCAGAGTGCTAAAGCTAAGGAATGAAGATGAATAATTTAAGGAAAGTAAAGATAAATAGATGGGTTTTGCATGGCTTGAGTGATAGAATGAAAGCCAATGAGCCAACCAAAGCTGATCATAGATTGCTACAGTTGCGAGAAAGCCAGATAAAGTAGAAGAATGTTGGAAGATGAGGAATATAAACCTCTCTCTCTCTCTCTCTCTCTCTCTCTCTACCAAGAAAAAACCAAGCACTTCTCTTTATGCTATGCTTAACTCTCTTTAGTATTCCAAGCTCTTCACTCCATGCAATAAAAATCACACCTTTGGTTTCTTGTGCTTATTGGATTTCCCTTTCTCTCTCTCTCTCTCTCTCTCTCTCTCTAGAGTGTGCAGACGATTCACAGCTTTCACTTAGAACCCCAACAGCTTACTCCATATACGGCCTTGTTTTGTCCCCTTCTGTACTATACCCTGCAGCTGATAGTTCTATTACCAAGAAACCTTTCATATGATGATTTTGCTTTCTTTTCTATATTTTCTTTTAGGTAATTGTTGGGTGATAAAACCGTCCAAACAATTCCAAAATCACTCATTTCAGTTTCATAAAAACCACTGGCTCTACAATTTCACATACAACAAATTCATTTTTTATTTGGAAAAAAAAAATAAAAAAAGTTTCTTTCAAAGATTAAAGAAACAAAAAAGCAAATATAATACCTAAAACGGAAAGCAAAAGAAACAAAAAAACACAGTTAGGCTAGTGGGTTAGAATTTTGAGAAGCCTAAGAGACATTTTATCAAACAGTTTAAAGGCATCATTTCATATACACATACAGAATTCAAATTCCTAAAACACCACCAGAACAATATGCCAATGAACCCATCATTTCATATACACATACAAATAGGTACAAACATATAAATCTACAAATTCAACAAAAGTTCATAGTTTCCTCTACAATGTGCAAATGATTATTAGTACCTTCAAGATTCCAAGTATTCTGGTGACATCTTCCTTCATGAGCTTCTTCCTCAAATCCTTACAATACATCAAACTTAGAGCCTCAATGTAAACTTCAACGTCATCACAGTCAGCAATCTCGACAATGTAGGGGTTAGAAGTTCGCTGCTGCTTCGACCACCGATCGGAAAGCTTAACCGCGAAGAATCGGCTGTGAGCAACCAAGATCTGCCGATGAACATTCAAGGAAACAGTGAGTTCGTCCTTGGAACTCAACGTGAGCTTCACATCGCTCGAATTGAGGAGTCTATAACTTGAGGAGTAGTAGTGGGCGTGTAATGAATCCTGAGATTTGACGGAGAGTCAACAAGCGAAGGCAATAGTGAAATGGAAATGGGGTCAGGGTTTGAGTAGCGTTGGGAGGAGAAGGGAGGTGGAGGAGAGGGCGGAGAGAGAGGGAGGGGAGAGGAGCAGCGGAGAGGGAGAGGCAGAGGGAGGGGGAGAGAGAGAGAGAGAGACACAGGCGCTGGTTTGTGGTTTGGAAAACAAGTATCTATATATATATTACACCATTAGCGACTGAACTTTTTTAGTCGCCAATTAATTTATAAAACCCTCCAAAATTTGAAAAATCCCTCCAAATATTTTAGTTTTTTGGAGACTAAACTTTTATTTTGTTGCTGAAAATAAATTTTTGGCTACCAAACTTTTGGTCACCAAAGATAAAAAAATATTTTTTTATTTTTGTTTGGGGACTAAATGATTTTAGTAGCCAAAATTCAATATATGGCGACTAAAATATTTTTTTGTGACTGAAAATATGTTTTTGGCGACCAAACTTTTAGTCGCTAAAGATAAAAAATAATTATTTATTTTTCATTTAGCAACTAAATGGTATTAGTAGCCAAAACTCAACATACGGCAACTAAAATAATTTTTGTCGCCAATTCTGGTATTTTTAGCTACTAAATTTTTTTTAGTCACCAACAATCAATATATCCAGACTAAAAATAATTAGTAACTAAATATTATATTTTTGCCGACTAAAAAATTTTTTGGTCGCCAATTCTACAACTTTTAGCGACTAACTTTTTTTTAGTCGCCAATTTTGGTCGCCAAATATGCATTTTCTCATAGTGTCCATAGAATCTTTGGTTTGTTGATTTCGATCCCTAATCTGATCTCAGAGACTCCTGATTTGCCCTTCTAATCGGTGGTTTGTTGATTTCGTACCCAAGAAGTCTTATAGCGTCTCTCTTAACAATGCTTTCAGTATCTAAGTTTGATCGATTAATCGATTTCAGTCTCATCGATTTGGTTTTCGATCTGTTGTTTGCGTTTGTTCTTCGAAAATGCTTGTTTATCAATGTAATATTTGTGTTGATTATGTAGTATTAACAACGGCCTCTTCAATACTAACTCTATCTTCGAGGAACAACACCAATGGGAACAAGAGCAAGAATGCTGTAGCATCATCTATATCTCTTTGTCAGAAAACCCTAAGTCCGATCTTGGAACTGAAGGAATCGCCCTCTTCGCTCTTGGACTCCGCCAAGCGCCATCTCGATCGCTTGCATTAGGAGATTCTCAAGGACCTTGAGGCCTCTCTCTCTCTCTCTTATCTATGCTGTAGCATCATCTATATCTCTTTGTCAGAAAACCCTAAGTCCGATATTGGAACTGAAGGAATCACCCTCTTCGCTCTTGGACTCCGCCAAGCGCCATCTCGATCGCTTGCATTAGGAGATTCTCAAGGACCTTGAGGCCTCTCTCTCTCTCTCTCTTATCTCCATAAACGATTAAAGATCCCTCCCTCTCTCTCTCTCTTTGAAATTTTATTGTGATGTGCTCTAATTGCTTGACCGAATTTCACCATAGAACTACAGATTGAGTTCTAATTGTTCTGCCTTTGTCTCTGTGTGAGCACGCACGAGTGTGTGCTCCTCTGCATTATTATTATTATTATTTGTAATATCGAGTTCATTTCTAGAAAGAAAAAATAATTGCAAAATGAGAGGCTGAAATGTTAGGTTGTTATATGTAATGATGTGATAGTCCGGATTTGATGTACTATGACTAGTTTAGATTAAATTTTATGAGATGACCATAATTGTCATTGAAATTATGAGATTGTTGTCTATTACAATGATATATGATTTTATATTATCGTAATTAATAGGTTTTGGGTCAGGTGACCTATCTTAAGGAGTGTATTTATAATTGAACCAAAAAAATTAAAAATTAAAAAAAATTAGAACACTTGGTATGAAGCAAGTCCAAACAGACAAAGAGCATAATAAGCAGCCGCCAAATCAACCAACAAGTGAATCCAATGCCTCAGTTGTATTGAATCAACTACCTACCTAGCTCAATGAGTCAAAAGACAAATCAGCTAATTTTTAACTCTTAAGCCATAAATAATTAAATTTCTATCCTATCATATCATATCTCCATTTGCTTTTGCATTGAAGCATGCACCTGTATAAGATCAAAGTACCTTCATTAGTAGTTGAAGCATTGACAAAGAGAGAAAAAAGGAATGGCTTACTCTTTGTTTTGGCCTACTTTCTTTTTGCTGGTTTCACTCTTACTAGGCTTTTTATTTGCAGATTGGGTTAACAATATTTGTAGTAGGTTGTAGACACCCCATTTTTGACCAACCTTAAGACTCAGACGTCATCGATTGAGCGTTCGGTGATGGTGCATGTTGTGCTCATTTAGAGGTTTCGGAGTTTTGGCTGAGAGCCTTGCCTCCGGGCCTCTAAACTCTTTTGTGCTTCGGCTCAGTTTGTGGACCAAACTTTGTTTCTCTTTCCCGGAGGGAGGGAGAGGTCTTGTAGACCATCTCTTTGTGGTCGCAGACCACTTTTTGTGGTCGTAGGCCACTTTTCTCATTTGGAGACTAGTTTCCAGTTTTCGAAACCTTCGGCCGCGCGCCTTTGCTCGAGACCGCTTAACGTTCTCCGTTTGGCGTGATTTTTGAACCACACCTTGTTGCCTCTGCCTAGAGGAACACTGTGGTCCGGGAGACCACTTTTGTGGTTGCGTACCACTTTTGGTGCTCGTCAGCTAGTTTTCGAGGCTTTCGGCCGCATGTTTTGCTTCCCAATCTCTCATCTTGCATCCGTTTTGGTTTGTTTTTGACACAAATCTTGTTTTCCTTGTTTGGAAGGTGGTACAAGGGTGGGAGACCACTAATTCTCCTGGCCGACCACTTCTTCCTCTGCCAGCCAGTTTTCTGGTCGGACAACTGGCTTTCTTAGTCTTTGGGGCATCTTTTCTGGTTGGCCACCACACCGCTGCATTGTTTTCATGCCCTAGACTCTCTCCCACCATGGCCGACCAGTTTTTGCTCTCAAAGACCACTTGAAGTGGTCGGCCGACCACTTTAAGTAGCAGGCCGACCACTTTAAGTGGTCGACTGCTTTTTGACACCTTTTTGGAGATATTTTCCTCCAGCTGGCACAGCTGGAGGACATTAGGGCCATCCTCCATACACGTGTATGGAGGGATTGCCTTGGTGCTTAGTTTCTCCTAGAAGCTTTTCCTTTCCTCTTCTATAAGAGGGAAGCTCCTCCTCCCTCCTCTAGGTTCAGAAACTTGAGGTTAGAGAGATAGATATACCTTTGTATCTATATTGCCTTGTTTGCTTCATTTTTATGCCTTAAAGTGCTATTTTGTCTTACTTTAACACACAAACACACACTCAAACACCTTCCTTCTACTACTGAGGTGCTTAGGGCCTGTTTGGTGTTCTTGGGTGGTTTTGAGCTTGAAAAACCTGCTGGAGTTGCAGTTATAAAGGTCTTCAAGGGTGAGTTTCTAACCCTTAAATCTCTCTTTCTTGCTTAAGCTTTTAGCCTATCTTGCATGTTGTTTTAAGCTTAACTCTTAACTAGAAAAAATTCTATTTTTGCATGCTTTTGATCTTTGTTTAAGGTCACTTTTTCGTTTGGGGTGATTTACCCCCTCTTAGGTCTTGTTAGGCCTTGTTTTGAGCCATCCCTTTAGGCTTTTGTTGAAGCCTTTGCATGACCTTTCTACCACTGAAATCCAGAGCATTTTCAGTGATGGAAAGGTAGTTTTGGTGTCTTAAATAGGAGAGGGTCATCCCCTTTCCTTGTATTGTGTATACTAGCTCCATATGCCTCATGTTTGAGCACCTTTGTTAAGCTTGTGTTGGCTTGTTCTTAGCTTGTATTTGTGGTTATTTTGCTGAGGCATACCACTGTTTTTGCTTGGTTTGGTCACTCCATGCATGGTTAATATACTTGTAGTATAAATCACACAAACTAGCTTTATATGCTTCATGAGGTAGCATGTCATTCTAGCTTGTTTTCTTTCCATTTCAGCATGTTTTTGGTGATTTTTTTCCATGTCATGACTTTGTTTTGGTTTGGTTTGGTTGGACCTTGCATGCTCCATACACTTGTAGTGTAGTTCCATGAAATAGCCTAACATGCATCATGTTGTAACATGTCATTTTAGCATGCTTTTGGCTTAGCTCTGAGAAGACTTTGTTCAAGTTTTAGCATGTTTAAAGTCTGATTTGTGTTGTCTTGGCCATGCATGACTTGCTTTGTATAGCTATGGTTCAACTTAGCTTGTTAGCTTTGTGTGTTGAGTCCTCTAGCATGCATTACTTGGCCTATTTGAATGATTTGGCATCATTTATTATGTGATTTCAGTCCATGTTTCATGATCACAAACTTGCGTTTATCACCTATTCCATGCTTTGGATAGTGTGTGTTTTATGCATTAACATGAATTATTGCGTATGCCTTCATGCCATAGCTTGCGAGCTCTCATTTCAGTGCTTATTTGGGGTTATTATGCCATGATATAACTCTGATTTTTATTGCTTAAGTCATCTCATGCTTGGTCTTAGTAGGTATAGTGTAATCCATCCTATTTGCCTTGCATATTCCATGTCTTATGCCCTTCATGCTAGCACATTTTGGCTTCCTTCCATACATGTTTTAATATCATTTTGACATGTTCTAGGACTATTCTGGGTTGCCTTGGTCACATGCTTCATGTTTTGTATACTTGTAGTACAAATGCTCGTGCTTGCCTCAAGCTTTGAGCACCATTGCATGCTTCACTTATGTTATATACATGATTTGGCATCACTTAACATGACATTTTAGAGCATTTAGCATTGCCATGTTCCTACCTCAATCATGCTTTAAGTGCCTTTGAGTGTTATGCATTGTTGCCTAGCTTATGCCTTAGCTTGTATGCTTGCATGCCTAGGTATTTGAGCCCTCATCTCAGCATGTTTAGGTCCTTGTTTTGACCTAATTAAGTTCTGTCCATGGTTAGTTCATGCATTTGTGCCATGTATTGCATGTCCCTAGAATAATCCTCCTTGTTAGCTTTCATGCTTTAAGGACCCTAGCACGCCATACTTGTGTTGTTTGAATGATTTGGCATCATTTCTTGTCTAATTTCAGTACCCTTAGTGTTGTTACACTTCCATGCTTTTCACTCCTTGAGCACTCTTGAGTGTTATGCTCTTAG